GGGCTGGGGATTCGAACCCGCCACCTTAGGTGTACGTGGCTGGCGCCTTAGCCAGTTGAGCTATAGGCGCTGAGCCTCAGGCTGGTTTTGAACCTGTGAGCTCACGCAATCTGCCTGCCTTGGCCTCTCAGAGTACTAGGATTACGGGGGTGAGCCACTGCACCTGGCCCACTTATTTTCTTTTGGAAACTAGGCGGCCAGGTTCCACCCAGGCCAGAGCTGCAGCCCCTCTGGGGAAATCCCACATGGGGCCTGGCCTTAGAGCAAACTATCTTCTCAGAGTAGCAAAGAGAAGGCCCTGGAAGCCCTTTCTGAAGGTCTCTATACTCCCTCTTGGCCTTGGGGCCAGTGATGTCCCAGCTGCTGAAAGCAGACCCCTGTCTGGCAGGTATCCTGGGTTCGCCTTGGCAGCTGTCCAAGACAACCCCTGAGCCCTCTCTGCTTCTACTCCTGACATGTGGGCCCCTAGCAGCTTGTTCTGCTCTGATTCCTGCCCCCTACCCCTGACAAAATCCATACGTGAACTTACCAAAATGACCTATCAGTAGGGAAAATACCCTGCTCATTCAGCAAGGGGGGAGGGGCACAGAGAGGCGATGACAGCTGGAGGTCTCCTGCAGGGTTGTCCCTGGAGCCTGAGTCTATCTGACAAAGGCAGCAATGGCGATCACCTGCAGCATGGCCTCCAAGCTGTGGAGCACCAGGAGCACAGCGCTGAGAGCCAAGTCTACCCATAGCACCAGGGTCTGCCAGAGCAGGAAGTAGGCAGAGAGGAGGGCAGTGCTCATAGTGAGAGCCAGGCTGGCGGCCAGCGGACCCTCGGCCTCTGTCAGGTTTCCCTTGGTACCTGCAGAGGAAAGTGATGAGTGAGACGGGGCTGCAGGACACTCCTGGAGACCCACTCCCCACAGCTGCCAGTGAGGGCTGCTGCTCAGGACCCATCTGAGCTCACTGGCCCACACTGTGCCAGGGCCTGAGGATTCCAGGGAAACAACTTAGAAGTGGCAGAAAGCAAAAAGCACAGCAGGGTGCATGTCCCTCCCATGGGAGGCAACCACTTCAGCTGCATGCCCCTGCGGGCCTCAGTCTCTGGCATGCTATGGAGGCTGGGGAGAGTTTGGGTTCTTTTTTTTTTTTTGCAGTTTTTGGCCAGGGTTGGGTTTGAACCCGCCACCTCTGGCATATGGGGCCCGGCGCCCTACTCCTTGAGCCACAGGTGCAGCCCAAGAGTTTGGGTTCTAAAGATCCAGGTGCATCTGCCCCCTTTGCTTAATTCCAAGTGGAACGGAAGGAATTTTATTCAAAGCTACTAAACATATTTTACTCTGGGCTAAAGCCAATTCTGGAAAATTTCATTAATTCTTATAAAAAATAAAACTGCATATTTAACGAATGGGTCAGTCACCAGCTGACCCCAGGTGCCTTAGAGCCTGGGGACCCCTAGAGACTGGCCAACTGCCATGCTTCTAATCTCTCAGCAATGCCACCTCTGGGGCTATGAAGTTCTACCACCTGGCTGACACCTCCGTTGGAGCACCCTTCACAAGATAGACAGCTGAGCAAAGCTATATACACCCACTTAGTGAAGCCTATGTCTGGTGACAAGAGAAAGGCAGGGCCCAGCTTCCCTATGTGCCTCAGTTTCCTTGCTGCACACCGGGTGTCATGGGTGCGTGTGCACTGAGGGCCTTAGACCACAGCCCTGCAGATGTAAAGTGCCTCAGGAGTGCCAGCTGTCTGGCCATAACACACAGATGTGCTGTGTATTGTGACCGGGGTCCAGATGGGCAGAGGCCAGGACTAAAAGCCTCAGATCATGCTGGTCATAGTGGTGAGCTCTGGGAAGGAAGAATTTCCCAGGCTTACCTCTGTATCCATGTCTTGTATGAGCTGACCCTAGTACAAGCAGTGTGTTTAAGGACAGGGGAGATGGGACACTAGAAGTGGTTGCAGGTTTGGGGCCCCCAGAGCAGGACTGGGGACACTGAGCAGCTCCCTAACCCTTCAGGCTCCCCTGCCCTGGTGGGGACCTGACAGAAACCTTTATCTTTCTCCTCAGATGGCTGAGGCCAACAGGAAAGAAAGGGGGTGCAAATGAGCATTCTGGGGCTCCGGTCCTGCTGGTCAGCCTGGGTTCTGGCACCCTGCAGTGCTGCTACCCAGGGCTCCCACAGGACATAGGTCCAGATGCAAAGTGTTTCTCCCTGCAATTTCACCAGTGTTATCTGCCTCTTAGACAAGCTTCCAAATAAAGGATTAATACTTAATGGCACTGTAAAGCGAGCCTACAAGGTAATTGGTTAAGCAGTTTGGATAAAAAATGTCTCCAAGGGTCATATTGTAAAATGACTAATGTTAAAGGTTCAGAATGTTTTAGATAGTAACTATGTTATCACAAGTACTTTATGGTTTTCATGGTCAACTCACCCAAGTATAACCGAATTCCTTCCAAAATCCCCATCACAAACAGCAGGGTCAGGTCGAGAGCCAGGTAGGCAGAAGGGTAGCTGAATACCTGGCCTGCTGGGCAAGAAACACACAGGAACATGGTTACCGGCACAGTCACAACAACCTCTCCCATTGCCTTTATTTCATGACTTACTTTTATATACAATCATCAGGAGTGTAGCCAGGAAGTAAAGGGCGTAGTACATTCCACTGAGATAAAACAGCATTTGAAGAGGAACCGAAGAGAGCTGGTCACCGGTTAAGGGTTTTCAAGCCCAAGAGACTCAGGAGTACCTCCCACATGGATGAGGAGAGGGGCAGGCTGGTTCTGCCATCTGTTCTGTGGCTACAAACCCTAAGGATTATCTTAGGCTCTGGCAGATGGGCACCCATGGTGGTCATGGAGACCCAGCCAGTGGCTCCCTGCCTGTCTGAAGCTTCCGTTCTGTGCTTGCTCCCAGTGTGGGCCCACTATCAGCCAGGTCAACAGTGGATCTGAGCACTGCAACCCCAGTCCCCATGGACTACAGGCAGGGCTGGCCAGAGGACAGTTGACCCCCTTATAAGGTAGAGAAAGAAAAGGACTTCTTTTGTATTCTTCAGAGGAAACCTAATTTTCTGCCAAGCACACAAACATTCACCAGCAACTTTCTAGCCTTGGTACCCTGCATACTCTTCTGTGCTATAACCAGTCTGTAGTCATTCAAAGTGAAGGGCTGTCATCTTCCTGCCACTGGCTTGGGTAGAGGCAGGTGACAGTTCCCCTGGGGGTGCTGGGCAGTTTGCCCAGCTCAGCTGATCTGGCAGTCTCCTGGAAGGGGCCTGAGCAGGTGGTGATAGAGACAGCATCCCCCATTCAGAGGAAGTTAATTAACTCTAAATCTCTCAGGGAACACCTCAACTTCTTTTTTTTTTTTTTTGAGACAGAGCCTCAAGCTATCCCCCTGGGTAGAGTGCCATGGCATCACAGCTCATAGCAACCTCCAACTCCTGGGCTCAAGCGAGTCTCCTGCCTCAGCCTCCCAAGTAGCTGGGACCACAGGTGCCCGTCACAACGCCCAGCCATTTTTTAGTTGCAGCCATCATTGTTGTTTGGTGGGCCCGGGCTGGGGATTCGAACCCGCCACCTTAGGTGTATGTGGCTGGCGCCTTAGCCGCTTGAGCCACAGGCGCCGAGCCACCTCAACTTCTTAAAAGCAAAATCAGGCAGCTTACGGAAATGGTGGGTGGGAGGGTGGAAAGCTCACTGCTTTGGCCAGCAGTGCAGCTCTTTGGGTGCTGTGTTGGAGAGGGGATGCAGCAGCAGGATACCACTGTGGCGGAGCCTCTCCCTGGAAGAAAAAGAGTAGTCAGGAAGGCCCAAATCCCAACAGGATACGTTCCTGGGCCTGGCCCAACACTGGTGGGGGACCATCAGCTTCATTATCCTTTGATCTCATCTTTATAGAAAGGGAGTGTTTACTGTGGGCCTATGTCTATCCCTTTAAGGAGGATGTGCCACTCACTGACTCTCAGAATGTACACTTGCAGGCAGAGATGCCGTGACAAGAAATCTCAACCTTGCCAAGGCCAGACCAACAGGCCAGGTGAGACCCACACCTCTCTCCGGACTACCCCAAATCTGCACAAATAGTAGCTTTCCTCACCCTTTGTGGTTTCTGCATATTTGCGACACATACATAATTAAATGAAAACTTTTTCTGGTTCGGGTTATATCATAATTGATAATAGACAAAATTCCTTTGATTTTTCTCATTGTCCCAAATAGTCATGAGAAAATAAGAATTTTCTTTCTTTCTTTCTTTTTTTTTTTTTCTGAAACAGAGTCTCACCCTTTTGCTTTGGGTGGAGTGCCAAGACGTCATTATAGCTCACAGCAACCTCAAACTATTAGGCTCAAGTGAACCTCTTGAATCAGCTTCCTGACTAGCTGGGACTACAGGTGCCCGCCACAACACCCAGCTAATTTTAGAAATGGGTTAACGCTCAGGCTGTTATTGAACTCCTGAGCTCAAGCAATCATCCCACCTTGGCCTCCCAGATGCTGGGATTTACAGTCATGAGCCACAGTGCCCGGCTTTCAAAAATAAGAATTTTCTAACCCAGCAATCCAATCTTCTGTTGTGTTATCTCTGGATAACAACCTCCTCCCACCCCCACTACAAGTTATCAGTTTTCCCCAATCCTGGAGTGTGCGAAACCTCCTTCTTCGTATCTCCCACTGACTGCTCCTTGGATGGAATGTGGTGGGTCAAATCACCTGTCTGAAAAGAGCTTCATGATAGCTCTGTACCTATGATATACACACATCTCTATGTGCATAAATACACCAATATAAATTTAGATTTTGTCAAAAACCCCTCACAAAAGGAATATATTGCCAGGTAGTGAGAAGGACAGTGGCCTGAACAAGCCTCTCTTTTCCTTTCTCTCTTCAGTTCCAGGGAAGGCAAGAAAGAAACTCTCAGGCTTGGTGAGTTTTTGTGGGTGATCCCATGACTTCTCTCGCTGATCTGGGGCCTTCTGTGCCAGAGTTTGTGGAACCTCACAGAGACAACAGTTTTAAAGTGGTAAACAGGGCATCATCAACAGAGACTCAGAGCTGGGCATCTAGAAGAGGTGGCACATGCTGGCAGCAGGAAGTCCAGAGAGGGGTGAACCAACTCTCATCATGTTACCAGGTGGGGCACTCTTTAAACCTGATCTGTTCTTTTCCAGGCCCCAGGTAAAGGAGGCTACTACCTAGATACCAGTCATAAGGTGGTCAATATCATGTTAATTGGGGTTTCCTCTCTTCTGACCCTTCCCCTAAAGGTAGCTTCCTACACATTTCAAATGTATCTCCCACATAACAACTGTCATAAACAAAAATTGTGGGGCTTAGAGGTAAAAAACTGTTTGAAACCCTTATGTTATACAGCATTTAAATAAATAACACGAAGGACAATGCCCGTAGCTGCTCTAACAGCTTCGGACCTGCAGGAGCTCATTCTGAGCGGCACAGCCTAGGCTTCCTGTATGAGTCACTGGAATCGCAAGGTGTCAGGCAGGAGCGAAACGTGGCCGTGAAACAGAACTCATGTTCTCCCCAGTGTGAAAGACAAGGTGCACGAAGGATCCTTTTTCTGGAATAAACTTAATTTTCGGCTCAGCGCCTGTGGCTCAAGCGGCTAAGGCGCCAGCCACATACACCTAAGGTGGAGGGTTCGAACCCCCAGCCCGGGCCAGCCAAACAATGATGGCTGCAACCAAAAAATGGCCAGGCGTTGTGGCGGGCGCCTGTAGTCCCAGCTACTTGGGAGGCTGAGGCAGGAGACTCGCTTGAGCCCAGGAGTTGGAGGTTGCTGTGAGCTGTGATGTCACAGCACTGTACCCAGGGGGATAGATTGAGGCTCCTGTCTCAAAAAAACAAAACAAAACAAAACAAACTTAATTTTCACGAAATGCAAACACATAGAGTTCTGGACACGTGGAAGCCACACGTCGAAAACTCTGAAGGGACAGGGGCCGGAGCTGCCCCGCAGGAGGCGACTGGCGGGTGGAAGCGGGTGGGGGTCCGCGCTCCGCTTCTTGGCCCGCTGTGTGTGAACACGACGCACGCCACCTGCTCCAGGCGGTGGCCGGCTATCTCAGGGGGGCTATTCGCGGCCAGAGCCCCGCAGGACGGCTGGCCCGCCCCACGCCCCGCTACCTGGCGGGCCAATGCGGACCCGCCCGGGGCTCCCCGAGGGCGACGGCCGCACAGATCTGGAAGAGAGCTGAGCTCTAAACAAGATCATCAGCGAGGAGACTCCGCGCCGACTAGGCCCGGCCCCTCCAAGCCCGCGGGCGCTGCACAGCTCACCTCGCCTCGCGGCCGCCATCTTCCCAGCCCCGCCCGCCGGTCCGCCGCGATCCCGGCAGCCTCTCTGCCCGCGCCGCTCGCGCCCCTTCGGCCATTTACGCCTCTTCTGCCGAAGGGACCCGACCGCGCAGCGTTTCGAGCCGCGGCCGAGGAGCGATTTCGCCGTCCGGCGGCGCTCGGGCACTTTCGGACAGGAGGAGGCGGAGAACCAAGGCTCGGGCACATTCGGCTCAGCTCGGCTCGGCCTCGGGCTGACTCGGCTCTTGCTGGTGGTAGGGGCAGATGAAACCTGCGGCGCAAGGCCCTCTCTGAAGAGCTGTACTGAGTTGGGGGTCGGCGAGAGTCTGTCCAGAGCCGGCCAGCTCAGTGGGGCAGGGACGACATCTGGCTCATTCTCCTAGGCAGTGAAGCGGGCCGGGGTCGGTCAGCTCGGAAGCCCTCGTCCGGTTCCGGACCCATTCGGACTGACTCGGTTCTTCACTTCGGGTAGCTTCGACCTTCCGGGCTTCGGGACTCTGGGCCTCGATTCGGCTCGGTGTCTTCGTGCAGGTTCGGCCCTGCTCGGGCAGTCTCGGCTAGGCTCGGCTCCGCTCGGCGGGTGGCCTCGGCTGGGCTCCGCTCGGCGCCTGGGTGCCGCTTCGGCCTCTGCTCGGGCGGCGGCTTCGGGCTGCCTCGGCCAGGCTCGGGCGGCCTCTTCGGGCCCCGCTTCGGGCGGCCCCGGACCGCGCCTTCGGGCGGGCTCGGCGGAGTCCGGATGGAGGACTCGGACTCGGCGGCAAAGCAGCTGGGCCTGGCAGAGGCGGCGGCAGTGGCGG